AAAGTTCCCCATTACCCTTGTGATCTATGTTACATGCACTGATAACCCTATCTATAACTTTCCACCCTCCCATTTATTTTTTGTTTGAAAAATGTAGTAGGTTGAGCTTACAGAAAGTGTTTAGGCCAACATTGCCCAGAAGCATTCATGGTGAAAAGTGGGCCTGGATCTCCCTGTTGCCAGATGAAGCCTTTAACCACTATACCATATGGAGTTTTACTTACTGTTTATTTACAATATACAGTATAATCCATTGCCCTAAAACATACTTATGTCATTGGATGACCGGTATAGCCAAAAGTCATAGTAGTTCAGCTTCAAGGTTATAAAAGCATCAACAGTAATGACTAAATATAAACTTTTAAAAATATTTTCAATTCTTTTGATAAATAAAACTGAGGAAAAGGATTTCTAGTTTTCAGGTTTTGTAAGTAGGTTCCTCTTGGGGCTCTCTGAGTTGAAAGAGTTCCACAATCATTGTCGTCAACACCATCCCACCCAAAGTCAAGAAGACTCAGAAAATTGTCACTTATTCTGCTCTCTCAATAGAGGTTGAATGCTGTCAATGCTAAATCTCATCTGTCACCCAAATTACATATGTTGAGTTTATTAACTAAGAATTGTACAATCCCATCACAGAAACCAAGCAAATTAGATGGAAAAATGAGGCGAGTCAGAATTTGTTCACATAACTCAATGCTGAGATAAATAATATTTTCATAGTCAGAACAGACTATGACAAATACTTAGTCAAATATACAAAAAAGGTAGGAAATGGGGAAAAGACCAGGCCTTTTAGTTCCTTCTTAACTAGCTTTGACTCTTTCCTGGAGAATATATGGCATTCTAAAGATTCTAGTCCCAGACAAATGCTTTTGAAATAAATGCTGAAATAGTGCAAAAAAGAAAACAAACATCCTTGTGTCCATTACCATTCAAGTTGTGGAGGGAATTGTGGAGATACAGAGTAATGCAAAGGAGGTGCAGAATATGCATTTGTCTTCATCATGAATTGATTTATAATCCTGAGATTATAGAGAATTTCTGTTCACTGCTTTATGTTAGATTTGTTCCAGTTATGAACAGAAATTCTTTAAACTGGCAGCATAGAAAATTTATAAACATATCTACTCTAGCAGGTGTGCACTGTCATTACAAAAGGGAAATTGGTGGCAAAGAAAGAAATAAAACAAATGAATATTGTATATCATTTGTCAGCTTTTTTTATGTCATGTTAAAGCCTTCATTAAAATGTGAGGCTGCAATTAGAGGCTCCAGCATAAATCTGACTCTGCAGTGAAAGTAATTAGACATTTAGGTGATCATTCTTGTATTTATCATGTTTGCTGCACTACCATGATTACACAGTAATTTACATATTTTCCTAAGAAGCTGCACAAAATTATTCATTACAATTGATATGAAAACATTTGATATCCTCTCCCGACTCCCCATAGAAGAATTTCAACATTCCTTGTGACTCAGAGCTAGTAAGATTTTTGTTTGGTCTAGATCATGCATCACTTTCATTTGTAAACAAGTATCAGTGCTACAGTGCCCACGTTTTACATGAATTTTGAACTGTGCAATAATTGGTGTGAAATACGGTTCTACAAAATCATTAGATTTTTTTTCCCACTTGTTTGTATTTCAGTCAAATTTAATTTTTTATCTACTTCTCCCAAAAATATGTAGCTGAACAAAATCTATCCTTCCCAGGGTTTTTCCACTTTGACTTTGATGGGTGACGTCATATGTTGCCAAGAGTGTTGTTGCCACCCTTCCTCAATTGTATTTGTGATTGGTTCAGGGTTTGCCTAGTTCCAATGCTGTGATCAATGTCATGAGACCAAAAACAGCACCTTGTTTGCATAGTGAAAATTTATTTCTGTAAATTAGAAGGAACCTAGAAAGCATATTAAATATGGTACTCTTGGAACCCCATTGCATAATCCCCCTTTCTCTGCCAAAGGAATAAGATAAATAACTTTTATTGTCATTTTTTACTATGGCCCATATTAAAAATGAAATTCTGTTGCTTGTTCTCAAAAGAAAATATATATCTACCCATACACATGCATAGCACACACATACACATACTATACACATACACACACACAAAAAGAGTCCTCCCAGAAGATAACAAGGAAAATAGACATAATCCTACTCAGGAGACAGACAAATCTAAAGAAATATTTAAGAGCAGATATATCACAATGACAAAGGTACCTATTGGCTGGGCCAAGGTTTTCCAAGGTGTAATGTATTAACATGAAAGTGAAACCATCCATCTAAAATGTGGAAAATTTAGTTGCTAAATGGTGGTGCTAGAGAAGACTGTGGAGAATACTTTGGAAGTCAGAAAGAACAGATCATTCAATGTTGGACAAAGTAAAGTCAGACTGCTCATTGGAAGCTCTAATAGTGAAGCTTTAGCATATACTTTGAGCAAATATATTAGCATATATTTTGAGCACCCAGCAAGAACCTTGGGAGAAAACCTTGATCCAATGAAAAAAATAGATGACAATAAAAAAGGGACAGAAGACAGAAGGGCTGGATCGCTGATGATAGAAAACATAACAAGAATGTACAAAAAACAGTTACTGAAAATCCTACCAAGATGATTGCTATCAAATCATGATGAGTCAGAAGCAAAAGAACAACAATGTTTCAGCTAGAAGTTGAAAATACCTTTATAATACATGGGTGGTGTGGTGAGTCAGCAGTTAAAATGCTGGGCTTGTCAGCTGGAAAGCTGACAGCTCGGGTTCAAGACCCAAGTGCCATGCGACAAGGTAAGCTCCCGTTACTTGCCCCAGCAAATGCAAGTAGATGGTGGGAAGGTAACAGCGCTGTACGATATCAACTGGCCACATGACCGCAAAAACATATTCGAACAACACTGGCTCAATGGCATTGAAATGGAGATGAACACTGCCCCCTATAGCCAAAACCCACTAGTGGAGTAAAATTCGTGGGGACTACTTGATCTTTTTTTTACATATATACACAGATAAAACAGTTTTATTTTTCGTATTTGTCTGCTGTTAATAATGAAATAGATTAATCTTGAGACCTTTTTTTAAGTTGTTGGTCATATTATTGATTTCTGAAGGTGTTCCAGGTTCTAGCAACCAAGACATATGGTGTTACCTTTAATGAAACAACTGAATAATGCATATTTGAGCAGGCCTTGATGTTATTTCACATTTTCCTTAATCATGTTATCATTTTCCCTAATGTAATTTCAAACAGTAAAATATAATTTAGTAATGAAAGGGTTAAAAAATTGCTTCTGGCTGTCTGGCAGCCATTATTTAAATCCATATCAGAGGCTTTTTGTTTGTTCTAAAATAAAAAGATTAGTATTGCCTGATCACAGGGGAAGCTGGTAAAATGGATATATTCATGTTTTTTTCCTCCAGCCCTGAGCTATAGAAGTGAGATTCAAGTATAAATTAAACATGAGCTGAAAATAAAAGAAGTCCTCTTCTCCTTTGGAGAAGAAGGGTAACATTCACTTTTTAAGAAATGTGATACTAATTAGTTCAGTCACATTTCAGCATAACTAAGAAACAGAATACAGTGGGGATGTGTAGATGAAGGGATGTGATTAAACAGATAGGAACAAGCTTAAATCATTTCTAAGGATGATTTTTTCTATTATTGCAACAATGAATCCCCTAAAATGGATTTAGGGAAGACTTCATAAGATACACATTGTAGTGACTATTTTGATGTTTGTTGTTTACATTATACTTTATTGATACACATTGTAGTATAACCAGATACATCCTTGTATTTTATCCCAAAGAATGTTTGACATTCTTGTACAATGGAGAGCAATATTCCTCATTAGGGATGTGTTTACCAGCACTCCCACACCGATTAGTGTTTCAGGATGTAAAGTAGTTCTGTGACCTTATCTTAAAAAGATTTATAACATAAAAGGATCTAGGCCCTTGCAATAAACTGGAAGACACACACTGCCTGTAGAAAGTGGAGGAATGTCATTGGTAGATAATAAATTACAATTAAAGCTTGTACTTCTATACTACTGAAAACACCTGCAATGTTGTGATCAACAATCTTGCAGTGTGACATAACCTATCAAAATAAACACCCAAATGCTACATTAAGAGAGGATGTCATGCCTAATATTTCTCCAAAATCATCTGTGTGCTGTACTGAAATTAAAATATGTGTGTCTAGCTATAAATAATTTAATTGAAATCTTTTGAGAAGAGAGGATAAAAAATTATAATACTGAAGACAGGACCAGTAAAGTGTAGAATGCAATAGACTGGTATTATTGTAAAGAAGGATTTCTCATTGTTAGGCCATATGATTTTTCAACATACTACAAACTAAGTCCCCAGTATGTCCATGTAACCAGGACCTTTTTCAGCAGAAGTTCTCCCAATATGTAGTGCAAAACAGATGAATTAAAGGTCTATGTAAGACTATTCATTTTCTTCTATCATGAGAAGTTAGAATTATTACTTATTTACTTAGTTTATTTATTTATCTGGTTTTTCCCAGGAGCCCAAGGCTGTTCATAATGGCAATTTCTATTTATTTTATTCTCCACCAAAACAATCCTTTCTATATTGTGCTTTTTACATTTATATATTCTAGATGTTAAATGGAGAGAGTATGCTTGGTTTATTGTTTGATTTTATTCTGTACTCCAGTCAAAATCACATTGCTTGAGCTGAGCGATCTTGTGAATGAATGAATGAACAAGCTGTAACTTGTTCAGCTTATTGATTGGCCCAATGTCTCTCAGCGAATTCCATAGTTAATTAATTGAATCTGGAATGTCATGCTCCTTGTCCAACACATGAATTACTACATCATACCATTTTTTAAAATATTTGTGATTTTTGACAATTTCTATCTACTTTTTCATATTTGTGGTATGAATTGTTGTTGTTTTTCCTGACGAGATATACAGAAATCATTAATATGCATTGTTCAACTTTTAATGTTTGCAGATGAATGGATATTTCCTGACAAAGAAAACTCTCAACTGGAGTCCAGCAATCCTCTGCCGATAGCCTATGAAACATTCCATGATGTTTCAGCCTCTGCCCAAAGTGATGACCAAATATATGAAAGCAAAGAAGCAGCTGAAGTGCCTGAGGATATTTTCACCTACTCCTCAAAACCTCGATCAGCACCTCATGGAAAGCCCTTGAGTCTTTCTTCAGAAGATTGCACTTTTTCTTTGGATTTGAAGGACGAAATTAGCAAGGACTGGCGAGGAGCTCAAATGGAAGATGATTTCTATGGAAATGAGAGCAATGGAGAGGTAACTTTAAAGGCTCGCTGTTATTTTGCTGTATTCCCACCGGCAGTACACCTGACATCTCTCCTCATATATGGATATGTGTTAAAAACTGATGTGATCGAGCTAGAAAAAGAGTCTTCAGAAGAAAGTTGAATTGTCAATTAGAAAAGTTACTATTTTGTAGTGGTTAGGGAAGAGGACTCGGTTCAGGTCAACCAAGGCCCTAGTCCACAGTTAGTTTTGGAAGGTAAACTGGAAAGCTTTAACTAAGAGACAGTCACAGTCTCTTAGCCCATCTAAGGGCTGTTTTGTGGAACAAAACCTGAAGAAAGGAGTATCATATTGAAATTTGAACTTTCAGAAAGACAAAGCAATCTAGAAAAAAAAAACTTTGTTACCTATGAGCAATGTATATTAAGGAAAGTTGTATAGGAAGAAGGTAAAATTGGAAGAAGAAATTTCAACAACCCACTATGCTGACGATGCTACCCTGATAGCCAAAAATTGCAAAGAATCTGCAAGCTCTAATAGTAAATGTCAAAAAACACAGTGGAAAAAAGGGGACTAAAATTAAATGTAAAAATGAGCAAACTAACAACAGCAGATAGAACAACCAGCCTAAAAACTGACAATGAAGATATTGAAATAGTAGATAGCTTCTGCCTTTTAGAATCAACCATACACTGTAAAGGAACACAGTCAAGAAATATGCCACAGTCAAGCACTGGGTAGAGCAACTGTGAACGCCTTGGAAAGGATATTCAAATACCATGATGTGTCTCCACCTACAAAGAGGTTTTGCAAGCCATGATACTCTATGGCAGCAGAAGGTGGACTTTAAAGAAACAGGACCGGAAGAATATTGATGTGCTTGAACTTTGATGTTGGAGAAGACTCCTAAGTATACCATGGACAGCCATGAAAACAAACGAATGAATCATTGAACAACTCAACCTATAATTCTCATTCAAAACACAGATGACTAGGCTTAAATTATTTTACTTCAGATACATTATATGAAGACCCAACACTCTAGAAAAGGCTCTAGTGCTAGGGAAGGCAGATAGAAAGAGAAGAAGGGATGACCACCAACAAGGTAGATGAATATACCGTTGGAAGAAAGAATTAGTGAAACATCATCATGGAGAAAATCTATCCAGTCACTAGGAGTCTCTAAAATGACTTGATGGCACATAATCATAATGACTGTTTTTTTACCCTTCAGTTTAAAAAAAAGGCTGAAAACCTCTTTATTTCAATAGATTAATAATTAAATAGAAGAATTTGGCCAATTCTAATAAAATGAGATATAAATGAAGTATTTTGTCAGTCCTAAGTCTCATCACAGTTTGGCAAATAAACTAGGAACGTTTTGTTTATTTATTCAATTTATTTGCTGTCCTTCTTGTTTCGAAGCAATTCTGGACAGCTATGAAATTAAATTTAATGAAAAAATACTTCCTTTTTTTCTGTGAATCAATGAAAAAAAACCCCACATTACAAATTTAGAAAAAGCATTGTCAATTATGATTGTCTAGGGTAGAGGAAAAGAATTCAGTATCACATTAAAGCATGCTGGCTTTAACCCCGGTGTATTGACCAAAGCTAATGGCCTGCTTCACATATAACAATAAGGCATGATTTACAAACCACAAGGATTGGATTATTCACTGAGATGAAAAAAAGTAAAATAGACCACATTATACATACTGTAGTTTATTAAAAGCTTCCTCGTTTGGTTTCCACCTTGTAAGAAGGAGCTTCCAACACAACCCAAGGATTTGTTCATATCAGAGTTTATTAAACTGAGATGATAATCTAAATAATATAATTGGAAATAGAAAAGGTTTCTTCCAAGGCTTTTTCTATTCTGAAAATTTTGCTTTTTTATATACCCTTTAGTTAACAAGAAATACTTTTTTTCATATTCAGAATGTTTCAACCTCAGAAGAAGTTTTGTTTTATCATGACAACAGTTTTGATTTTGAAATTGATTTTTCCTATCAGCAAATAAATAATTGAGTAACAATTTCTGCAATAGAAATATCGCTGGAGTGCGATAGAAATAGACCTTCAGATCATCATTGTTTTCAGGCTAGATGTTCATAATTTAAAAATATTAGTTGTGCTTGCTTCATTTTTCATAAATATCCTTTTTTTTTCTTCCAGACAATATCAATGTACAAATTACCACTCAGGCAAGAGAAGAAGGACTGTAGTTTTTCTAGTGTTCTGGGGAGGCTGGAAAACTTATGGTGATGAGCAGTGTTTAAAATAATTCATCTTGTCTTGTTTCCCTATTGTAGGATGATAGTTACATGGACTCCCTCATGCAAGAGAATCAGAATCTTCCAAATAACTATTTCATATCAGCATTCCCTCAGCCAGTAATATCCAAGGAGATTCTTCCCAAAATGGCACCCAAGAGTCCTGAAAGCAGGACATACAACTTCTGTACAAAAAGGACTGAAGAAGAAGTATCACCACAATGTATTGAAGATTCTGTTGTGATAATGGACAAAGCAAATAAGATACAAAGAAGCTTGTTGCCCACTTCTTGTTTATCCCCTATCGGAAACCTATCTGAACCCTGTAAGGAAATATCTAGCATCTCAAAAGATCTCTCCACCAGTGCATTAAGAAGTTCCATAAGTAGAAAGTCCTTAAAAGAACTCCATCTGGAGGACTCAAATCCAGTAGTTCAAATTCCTGTAAGTATTTTTATAAATCTTGTTGTAATAAAAAGGATATTTAAGCTTTTGCATCTTTGCATCTGTTAATAACATTAGCATTTTAGAAAGCGCTGCCATGGGATAAAGCAAAGATCAATCATATGGAAGAGAAGGAAAACTGCCAGATTGATCCATGATACAAGGATTAATTAATTATACATTTTAAAAAAGACAAGATATATCCATGGCAAATAGGACTACTAATTAGGATCAAGAATGGTTAGCAATGTAAGTACATAGTCTCCCCGGTACACTAAATCTGGCTGGAGGATAAATGTAAATAAATAGACCTTGGACTGAAAATACAATGTTTTTTATAGCAAAGAGAAGCAATACTGTTTTAAGATAATCAATCTTAAAACTTGTTTATCTGCCAAAGTTTGTCAGTCTGTATGCCAGGATTTGTCAGAGGCTGACAAAGGCTTGTTTGGGATAATGAAATATTTTCTACAAAAACAACTTACTTCCAATCTGTCCGATTGGAATTTGGCATTTCTTAAGTTAATGACTGAAAGAAGAGGGCAGAAAAATTAATGAATTCTTATTAATCAGTTTTAAATATGGCTGGTATATCTACAGAAAGTTTCTAGCAGTTGGAGGAAAAGAAGTTTCTTGAAACAAACTGAAGAAATTTGTTTGTTTTTACAATGAAAGATGTTTCCACACTTGTACCCTGCTTATGGATTTCCTCTATTATATTCCTCCCATAATATAAATGATGGGAAAGATTGCACTTTAGTGTGATGCAGAACATTTCTCCTCATGCACCTGATCTATTTCATTCATTGTTTTTCTATTTAATTGAAAGCCTTAGAGATTAACATTTACCTTTAGCACCATCCTAAAGTCTTAACAGAACTGGGATATCAGGTCAATAATTACACGCCATAGTAACATTTCCCTTGGAAAATATTTTTGCGAGCATGAAAGAAAAGCTATTTGCTCTCTGACTGAATTCCACATAAGATTTTTTTTTTCTTTTCCCAATTGTTAGACTGGTAGGAGGCATATAATTTGACAGATTGATTGCCTCTCTGGAATACCAGATTTGGTTTTTGTGTTTGTAGCACTTGAGGGGTGTCTGCCCTACAAGCATGATTGCATGTTTTTCAGCTAAGCCAATAGGGACTGGAAATGAGTGACTGCTACAATGCAAATCTAGCAACCACATGCATTAAAAATAGGCAAGTTAATTCAACTGTTGGCTCATAGCATTTTTTTTTTCTTATGGGGCTCTCCGGAATGAATAGCATTTTTCAAGCAACTTCTACTTGTTAATAATCTATACAAAGAGGTGAGCAAAATACCAGCCCCATAGATTTTTGTTCTTTATGTGAAATGTTTAAACCTTTGTTTGAATGTTTTCTCTTTTGAGCAAAAGAAAAAGGAAAGACCAGCACAAGTGTGCCAAACACACCCCTTTTGCAATAACTCTCACAAGCCTTTCTCTCATATGTTTTGATGGACAGCTGCTTAGACTTCTCAAGTAGGGAAAGCACTTACTGGCATGGATAATCCCCAGGGTCTGGTTGAGTTTCAGCTCTTTTGTCCTGATTTTTTTAAAGTCAGTATTTAATTCCTCTTCCAATAGCTATCAAACTGGATTTCTTTGGGGGAGGGAAGAAAGAATTACATTTCATTATCAATGGCAATGGTTCAAACAACTATGCAGGGTAAAAGGCAAGCTTATTGTAGTTTTAAGAGCTGCTGAAGTCGGTACATTACCAAGTCAGTTTGAAGGAAAGGAAAATTGACAGAATTTCAATAGTAATCTGTGGGTGAACCCCTTAGATCAGTGTTTCCCAAACGTGACAATTTTAAGGCATGAGGACTTCAACTCTCAGAATTCCACAGCCAGCAACGCTGGCTGTGGAATTCTGGGAGTTGAAGTCCACATGCCTTAAAATTGTCAAGTTTGGGAAACACTGCCTTAGATCATTCGTCCCTGCACTTCAGAACATTGCTACAGCCAGCCCTCTCCTCCCAAATAGTAAGTGAAGTGATTGAAGGATAACAGTAAGGAAGTGTTGTAGTCCAAATCCCCAAGCCATTTGGGTGGGGGATTGCATTCATGTCTATCAATTTAATTCTTCTTCTCCTGGTTTTATTACCCAACATATATTCTTACAGCCACCATTAACAACTTAACAGTAATTCATAATTTCATATTTTTATTAGCTGATATCTAGATTTCCCTTTTTCAAGTGATAGCTTAATTAGTCAGCAGTGACTAGGAACTTTATAAAAAATTTTAAATGGCTTGCGTTCTGAGAATACTAACTGTCCGATTTTTATGATATTTTCCTGTCTAGAACATAACAGTATTATTGTAATAGCTCCTGACTCTCCTGTTCCATTTCTATCTGGCTATATCTTTTGGTGCCAGATAGAAATCAAAAGGCATTGAAGTTTTGATTCTACAAGCATCCCAAATAGAGGCCTAATTTTATCAGTCATTTCCATTATTCTCTAGATCCTTGTTTTGAGTCTTTAACACAGAGGTCCCCAACCTTTTGGGCACCAGGGACCCGTTATGTGGTTTTGGGTGCTGCCTGCATCCCACGGATGGGGCTTTGCTTGTTTGTGCAGCCCAGTTTCTAGCATGCCACAGCCCGGTTCCGGTCCACAGACCAGGGGTTGGGGAACCCCTGCTTTAACAGACACTTGCCATCGAAGTCCATCTGCATACGGTGTCACTCTTACAGCTAACAAATATTTATTTTATATTTATTTTGGAAAATAAACATGCCTTCCATCCTTTACAGTTCTAGGCAGTTCCACAAAAACACAGTGAAAACATCTTGAAAAATACAAAATATGGAACAATAAATATAAACATAAAAACTGTAAAATAAGTTCTGAATAAATACATTTATTTCTGTATTATCCTAAATTATAATAAGGAGGTTTGCTTCAACTTCAGGAAGTGTGTTCCATAATCGGTTCCTTTAAATGGCCAAAGCTGAAATGATCAAACATATTATACAACTGCAGTGTTCTTTTTGTTTTCTTTCCATGGACAAACCAGTTGACCAGATTTGAACCAATTGTGGGATTAGAATGATCTGTATTACTTCTTTGCAGCAATCAGCATCCAAGGAAAGCTCCAATAAAGCAGTTGACTATTGGTTAGGAATCTTTTTTGAGAAAGATGAACTAAACCTATCCAAACATATCTTGTTAAACTTTAACATAAACTGTTAAAATTTCAAACGATTACAGTGGACTGAATCAAAGCAATTTGAAAGTCACATATTTTAAGCCAAAACAAATTAGTCTTCTTAACATGAACAGGTTTTGAGATCTCAGAGCCCAATAATGAACCTGTTAGTAATTATTAGTATATTAACATTCTTTTTAAAAAAGACAGAAAAAAATAGAATTCTTTTATTCATAAAAGTTCCTGTTACCCGGAGGATTGACCAGACAGTTGCAATTTACAAGCATTATTATATCTCCTCTACTATCTCCCTCCTCTTTTAGTACTTGAGCAGGGGTGTCCAACGGGCAGCCCACGGGATGGATGTGTCACACATAGGTCATGCCCACCCCAACTCCGCAAAGGCAAAAAACATCATGATATGTCACGATACATCACATGACAAAATCGAGTTTGACACCCATGTACTAGAGGAAAGTGTAAAGAGTATGTGTGGGAGGGGAGGAGAGAGTTATTTCCATCATTGGCTTTTGCATCAAAGCTCATATGGACTAGGACCGTCAAAAGAAAAACTCCTTCCTAATCCCCTCCTGCAGTATGACTGGCAAAAATGCTCAAACAACTCTTAATAAAATTTATTTGCTCACTACTTAGTAAAATTTAAGGACTTGCATACTTGCAATGTTTTATTCATGTTTTAATAGAGTCCTCTATTATTAAGTTCAAATATTTTTAATTAAGAAAGAAGTGCAGTCCTCTGGGTAATATTGCAACCAAGTAGATAGCTTGGATAATTAAACTTTCCTGCACATGCAACTAAATTTAAACAAATCTGAATAAATCATTTGAACATGGGAGAATGCAAATGTCATTATGTGCATCTCTAAACTGGAAAAAAATATCTTTGATAACAGGTTTTGACAATCTGTTGAATGTTTAAAAGCTTGATAAAATGCTTCTTATCGTAGGAACAGGGAGAGTTAGAGAACATAAGCTTTTAATTGTCAGCTAAAATACTGCATTCAGAAGAACCATGAATGTCACATGGAATTATATTTTGCATTAAATGTCCCATTTAAAAAATGACTTCAGTTTAAATATTTTTTTAATTTCCAATGTCTATTTGGCTATCACAAACAATGCAAATATAAACCAGAAAAATTTAAAACAATGGTCAGAAATTTTGTTTGTTGGTACCATTTCTAAGAAATTGTCCATTTCAGAAACTGAAGGCATTTCCTTTAAACTATTATTAGATTACAGTCCAAATCTTGGGTGGGGCAGAGTTTCTATTTCTGGGGGGGGGGGGAAGGTTGCTTTGTTTCTTCTAGCTAAGGCCTCTGTGTTCCATTTCCCTGTTTGCACTTTCTCTGTATACTTTCATACAACCATTAGAAAGGTTAAAAGATCTGCCCAAATTCTGTCCTCTAAAAGCGCATAGGTCGCCTTGAGCTGGTTTAAAGTTATTTGAATCCTAGTGATGTATGGTGTCTACATCACATTGCCATTTTTTACTTGATTTATTTATGTTATCTCACAAAATAAAAATAAAAAACTGAGTTTCATAAGAGGAGCCTCAAAGCTATCATTCACAGTGTATCAAGGTAGCTTTTAAGACTGAACTAAGGAGCAGCCTTTATATTTGCAATGTGTTTTGGTTTTTTTTTTAAATCATTGTCAAATGAAACTTTGTGAATATAACCATACACTTTTCTTAGTAACAATACAGGATGTTTTTATAGTTTCCCAGGATTACCTAGTTATCACCTATCCTAGTAGTAACCAAGTCTTAAAGGTAACAGAATAGAATAACAGAACAACAGAGTTCAAAGGGATATTGGAAGCTTTCTAGTCCAATCCCCTGCTCAGGCAGGAAAGGCTATACCATTTCAGACAAATGGCTGTCCAGTCACTTCTTAAAAACTTCCAGTATTGTGCTCCAACAGCTTCACAGCTTCACAGCTTCTGGAGGCAGGTTGTTCCACTGATTAATTGTTCTAACTGTCGGGAAATTTCTCCTTAGTTCTAAGTTACTTCTCTCTTTGGTTAGTTTCCATCCGTTGCTTCTTGTCCTGCTTTCAGGTGCTTGGGAGAATAGCTTGACTCCCTCTTCTTTGAGATATTGGAACTCTGCTATCATGTCCCCGCTCCTCCTTCTCTTCATTAAACTAGACATACCAAATCCCAACAACCTTTCTTTATATGTTTTAGCCTCCAGTCCCCTAATCATCTTTAGTTTCCCTGCCAATCATGTCCAATTCTAAGGGGAAGTACTCATCTCCCTTTGCTAGCCAAGAGAGTGGTATAATCATACCACTGAAATGGTATAGGTCTCCTGCTTGAGCAGGGGGCTGGACTAAAAGACCTTCAAGGTCCCTTCCAGCTCTATTCTGATTTATTGGAGCCAGTATTGTCCAAAGACACCTCCTTGGTCATGTGACCAACATGATTATACCCACAGAACACTTTTACCTACCCACTGAAATGGTACCTATTTATCTACTCACATTTGCATGCTTTCGAACTGCTAGGTGGGTAGGAACTGGCACAAGGAATGGGAGCTCGCTCGCTCTCAAACCCAGGCTGTCAGCTTTCCAGCTGACAAGCTCAACATCTTTAACTACTGAACCATCATGTCCCCCATAACTAAATCTTAAACCCTACATAGTTACCTTCACAATCCATATACAGATGAGGTCAGCTAGATACTGCCATCAAAATAAGAAAAAAGAGAAAAATGTTCACCAAAGAGGAAAAGATCTGAGAACTTTTAAAAAAACTTTTTACTGATGTATTATTAAAAAAGGAACAAGTACACGTGGATTTACTCATAACTACAATGTAACTAAGTAACATAAGGCTGGAAAAATAAGTACTTAATCTAGAACACCTGATTGTAAAGATTTTGGAGAGAGAGAATTCATGCAAATCTAGGTATTCTAAAACAGAATTACTGCATTAGAGAAATCCGCAGATCTTTAAAGTCAAATCCCCTTGCTTGGCTTTACAAATCCATGACACAATGACTTTTTGGGCACCTCAAATTTCACTAGAGGAAATACCAGCCAACCTATAATAGGCGCATTTCTCTATTCTTTCAATGTATTATTTTCATTTTATTATTTCAGTTTAAATACTGTGGTTAAACATGTTGAATGCATAAATGTTGTTATTTATGAACAAAAGGACTCCCCGTATGAGCTCACATTTGGTTTCCTAAAGAACAGAGCACACTTAGGGAATTTCTTAAATTCTTTGCCATTCCCCCCCCCCACCAGTTTATTCAACCTACTCCTTTTTAAAGATATAAACCATTATTGGTTCTAAATCTATAAAGATCAAAGAGTGTTGTTATTCATGTGTAGAATGCCCTGCTTTGTGGTGCTGGAGAGGAAAGAAAGAAGGCTTTTATTCAAATAGCTTCTATAAATGATCTATTTGAATTGCCAAAAGCATATCACTGAAAACTGAGACTTGCCCAATACACACCTACTTTTTAAAAAATGATATTTTTGAAGGTAAAATACCATTTTCTTAAAAAGAAACTGCCCTTTTTTAAAGTTCCAAAACAGCAATTGCTATATTCTCATTTAAAGAGCAGTGTAAACAGTACAGAACATAACGGCTATTAGTTGGTACTATTAAATTTGGAAGAAGGTAGTGTTTTCTCATCATTTGAACAGATAGCTCCTGGCTTTGAAATAGACCCCATTATGTCTTTCCGATAGATTTGCAAGCTTTAAGGAAGCAAGATTTACTCCAGAGTCTCTTTAACCAGGTTTAAAGATGGGAAGAAAAGGTTAGATAATAGAATCGTGGTTCCCCCCAGGATCCGAATGATCCTCACTCTGCTCTTGTTCAAAGAGCTGTGAAGACTTGGCTCTTCAGTGAGGCCTTTGGCAAGAGAGAATTAAAGTTCTTCAAGGCTATTCAACATTTTTAAGAAACTGCTAGAAAGGGTCATCTGTTGATTTGGGTTCAGCATAGTGATTATGTTTTATTGTACATCACCAGCCCAGGTTGGACCAGTAACTTCTGTGAAAGCTTTGAACCATTGTCTGAAGGCTATAAATAAAAGGAACAAGGTAGAAATGCTGTTGCATCTATTAACTTTAGGCCCAATGTCTCAAAAATGCTTTTTAAAAGACAACTAGACTTTCTTAGTTTTTTTCCTTGAAAGCGTTTTATTTCTCATCCAAGAAGCTTCTTCAGTTCTGAAATTTCCTAGATAAGAAGCAAAACATTTTTGAGGGGAAAAAAACAAGAAGGTCCAGTGCCTTTTGTAAAGCACATTTGGGACAACCATGACCTGGATGATTAGGAATCTCCATAGACATTTAGGCCTGTTGATTGCTCCAGACAAGGTGCATATCCTTGAACGGTTGATTTGTGATCTTGAGATCAACCTGAAGCCACAACATCTGTTTATACAGCAGATGGAGGCCATAGCCAGGGGGTTTTGTTCAGTACACCATGTTACAGCCCTATTGGGATTGAGAAACCTTGGCATCTCCTTAGTGGATCACCACATAATTGTCCTATAGCAAAGGGGCTATCCTTGAAGCAAACTCAGAAACTGCAACTAGTATAGAAGACAGCAATTAGACCTACCCAGAAAATCTATTTTAAGTTGTATTATGCACATTTTGCAATCACTGCACTAGCTTGTCTTTTGGGCTCAGTTCTGAGTGCTGGATATTAGCTGTAAAATCCCTATATAGAATCACATCAAAGACTGCCTAGCTAATGTCTCATCCCATTCAATCAACAATGGAGAAAGTGGCACTTGCAAATGAAGTAAGTGTGCAACAGACTTTTCTCATAGCAGCCTTTGAAGTGTGGACCGCTTTACCTCAGGAGAATGCATATATAACATTTTTGAAAGCATTAAAGATCATCCTCTTCCAGCAGGATTTTGATCAAAGATTAAGATTTCAAGCAGTAATCTAGTTTTCCATATGCTTATCGGGTTTTTGTCTTTAATGGCTTCTTAATGCTTTATGCATTACCCAGAGCCTATAGTCTCTGCAGTGAAGCAGATTAAAATGTTAATAAATAAATAAATTAGCAGCAGTTTATGAATATTAATAATTTCGAGTCAAACCATTGGGTCTGGCGTATATAAACCAATAGTCTGCTGTTAGTGGGGGTTTCTTTTATGATCTCAGATGGAAGCCTTTTCCAGCCATATCCTACCCAGACATTATGCATTATGCATAAAATACATCTTCTTTATCTAAGCTGTGGGACCTCTCTTTGCTGTTCCATAGAAATAATAACCAAGTACTGGAATTAGTATGAAAATTATGTAGATCCACCTTTTAACAGATGCTCTAGTTCAGTGGAATTCATTGGATTATAATTACTGATTCTTTCAGTGTTCATAGGATAGCCTACTTAAATTAGCTTTAATTTTCCTCTCCTTTTATATAGTACTAATCAAAGTTTTTTTAATACTTTTTTCCCACTTCCATAAAACTATAAAACAGAGAGCTAAGCTTTTGAAGTGCAGGGTGTTGTGCATACTATACTTTTTGTTTTGTTTTGTTTTTTGCAGTTTTCTTTCTGTTAAGACAAAGAAAATTGCTATCCACAATTTGGAGCAAATGTATCTATTCATTAATATCCTGTCTTTCAAATTATACATGCTCAGCTATTACAGGTGATCCTCGACTTACAATCACAATTGAGCCCAAAATTTCTGTTCCTGAGCAAGACAGTTATTAAGCGAGTTTTGCACCATTTTATGACCTTTCTTGCCACAGTACTTAAGGGAATCGCTGCTGTTAAGTTAGTTTGTGGTTGTTAAGTGAATCTGGCTTCCTCGTTGACTTTGTTTGTCAGAAGGTGGCAAAAGATGATCACATGATCCTGGGACGCTGCAACCCGTCATAAATACATGACGTTTGCCAAGCATCTGAAATTTGATCACGTGACCGTGGGGATGCTGCAACAGCCGTAAATGTGAAAAACTGTCATAAGTCACTTTTTTCAATGTCATTGCAACTTTGAATGGCCACTGAACAAATGGTTGTAAGTCAAGGACTTCCTATATAGAAATATATACGTATGTGTTCTTTATTTTTATTTATTTATTAAACTAGTATACTGCCTATCTCACAGGAGGCCATTCTTCATATGTATCTGTACAATTGTCATGTTTTATTTCATGTAATCCATAGGAATACAATTGGAAAGACTACCAGCCAAGCAACATGACCATGTCTGAAATGCAGATGTTGGCTAGCATGAAAAGGCAGCAAAATGAAGAACTGGAATCTAATGGACCTTCACATGGGTTGAGTGCCTCTCAGATCAACAATTGTAATATTAGCATCAGCACAAGCAGTGATGACACAAATACCTGGAATTCATGCCTCCCAGCAGTAAGTTTGAATTGTACCTTCTTTATTGTTTAAATAAGAGCCCTTGCTAAGCCTGCAGTTATATTGGATTCATTTAAAGGATTGTCATTGGTTGGCATACATTTCTGTAAAAAAAGATATAGATATCATAATTTCTAGGTGATGCACACTTGAGGTAGATTTATATGGATGAACACTCTAGCAAACGTTAGTAAGAAAGGAAAACAAAACAGTAACATCTAAGATGCTAAGCTCAATTGAAGATTTAATATGGCCCTATAATAGAAGACAAGATTCATTTTTTTCCATCCATTTCAGTGTACTAGAGTTTTCAGTTTATAGATCATTTTATATTCTGTGTCTTTATCTGTTCAGTTTTTTCTCTAGAAATCCATCAAATTTAATAGTCGGCTGTCATTTTCCTATAGTTGCTTTTTCTAAGGCTGAACCTCAGATTCCTATATAAAATTTTTCCAAAAGCCCATCTCAAGATTTGGCATAGACCATGCAGGGCCTCAAATGGGAGTTCATAGCTGAAATCGTAATGCTTCCAAAATACCACAACTAACAATAATCCAGTAATCCAATAAAAACAAGAGAACCTTTATTTACAATAAACAATAAAAGCAAGTTTACAAAACTACAAGCGTTGATAAAACAGTGCTCATGTTTGGTTCATCATTATCTGCTATCTTATTTTCACTGCTCCTACATAGAACTTGGCTAGTCTACACGTAATAGAATGTTTCAGGTTGGAAATTATAACTCATCCTTCTGCCTGTGTATCGGTGCAGAAAGGACATGGAGATCCCTGTTTAAGGTATTGTATAATAACACATGCTGTATTATTTTAGTTTCCCAGATTCACATAGGCAAGAACACTCAGCTTATAGAAATTTAGAATATCCAATAGATGTAAAGAACTCTTACCAAAAGTCTACATGTCATTTATTTTAGTTCATTCGTTGTTTTCAAACTCAATAGTTGATCGTCTGCCAAAACTAAGAGTAATAAACCTCTTAGGAAAACTGGTCTTAAACCAGTAATTTTATCTGCTTCCAAGGCTCATTTGAATGCTAGGCATCCTAATGTTAAGCCTGAATGATGTATTAGATATATCCTAAGGGGCAGAAAGAATGGACTTTAAGAACTTGGTTTGCTCTAGCTCTCCAGTGTCTAAATTTTCATATAATATTTGGAGCCGAAGTTTGGTCTCAAGAAACATTAAAGCTGTTGTCATTAGTTCTTGTCTTTTGGTTAAAATAAAAATGATAAATTAAAGAAGCTCCTAGTAGCTATTGAAGATGCTAATGCCAACCAGGTAACATATTCATCATGTATTTTTCAAATCTTCGTGGAATAAAACACCACTGTAAGATATTTAAAAAGATGGACCTACTCTACTCTATAGTCTAGTCTAGTCTACTCTACTCTACTCTATTTCACTTAGTGACTTCGCAGTTTTTCTTTTTTTAACAAATACATGAATCTTTGATTTTTGGGGAAATTTGTAAACAGCTTGTTCTTCTTAAAGTGTCAAATTATAGATCTTACTGTTCTTCTGAGCACAGTGGGCACATATGAGATGATGGCTGGTTACATCGTCTGTGAGCAAAAGTAGGGGATTATTACATCTTACCATTAGGGGAGCATAAAAATCTTGTTTAGCTTTTTTTTTTTAACATGAAGTTAACATAAAATTTAAACAACATAGGGTCAAAATACATCCTTTCCTCACTTCTCTTTCTATTTACATTTGTTCATGTTAGGGAAGTATAACTTCTGAATCCGGAAAAGAAGATACCTATTAATGAATGTATTTTTGTTAGTTTTTCCTACAATATCATTCAGAATATAAAGCAAATGTTAAATCAAGGAAAACCTCTGATAAACTTCACTTTATGGCTGTTTTTTTATTAAATGCTACAAGAATATCACTAGGCACTAAAGCCTCTATAAATCTCACTTGTTTGTCTCTTGTTATACCTTTAAGCTCTAGCTAGTCTTGGAGCCTCAGTTGAAGTATTTAGCCCATCATTTGTTTATTATACTCCAGACGCTGGTAGGTCTATAATTAGTCAGATCTTTTTTATTATCCCTAATCCTTGACAATATATCCTATTGAGGTGGCGCAGCAGTTAAAGTGCAGTACTGCAGGCCACTTTAGCTGACTGTGTTCAGCAGGTCAGTGGTTCAAATCTCACCGGCTCAAGGTTGACTCAGCCTTCCATCGTTCCGAGGTAGGTAAAATGAGGACCCAGATTGTTGGGGGCAATGTAAATATATATATACATTGCTTACTGGTGTACACCGCTTAGAGAGTGCTTGCACTTAAAGCGGTATATAAGTCTCATAAATAAATAAATATTGGATTGATGAAGATGAATAAAGATGTATTCATCAAGCTAAGGTCATTTTAATTATTTCAGCTAGGACAAAATCACTACCCAGTGACTTCAGAAGGAGAAAGTGGTGAACAACTTTGTTCAGTTTTATGTTGGAATCTTGCATGTAAAGCTCTGAAATGCTGTTCTCCTGCTTGTATAAAAAGCTGGTTGTCTGGATTCTTTGGGTTGTTTGGACCCTTTCCTTGGGTGGCTGAACAAACAATGGTTAAAAAATTTCCCTGTGTGGTTTATTCTTCTTCTCCAGGAGAGACTTTTTATTGTTTTTTCCTAAGATTCAATAATTCTTGGTGTAGAGCCTTTAGGGGTTATACTACAGCACCCTTCATTCCATCATATCAGGGCAGAATTACAGAACAAAAGAGTTGGAAGGGACCTTGGAGGTCTTCTGGTCCAACCCCCTACTCAAGAAGACCATATAATATTCTGGACAAATGGCTGTCCAATCTCTTCTTAAAAACCTCCAGTGTTGGAGCACCAAGAACTTCTGGAGGCAAGCCATTCCACTGATTAATTGTTATCACTGACAAGGAATTTCTCCTTAATTCTCTCTTTGATACGCTTCCATCTGTTACGTCTTGTCTTGCCCTTGGGTGTTTTGGAGAATAGGTTGACTCTCTCTTCTTTATGGTACCCCTTGAATATTAGAATACTGCTATTGGAAATATTGTGAACATTGGAAGGGCATTCTTTTTGTCCATTCTGCATCACTGATTGGGGGGAATATTCCCACAAATAAAGGGAAGTATTCACTTTCTAATGAAGATTCCAGACCTTCAAATCAAGCAAAGTAATCCAATTATAGAACATGAACCAAGAATCTGATATGTATTGGCTGTTGTGGGTGAATCTGAAAGTAGGAATCCCTAGAATTTCTACTTAGTTGCTGTGTGAATGCTGAATTTGGGGAGAGGGAGGGATTATTTATTTTTATTAAGTTTATATGTTGTCCATCTCACTATTGAAATTCTGAATAAATGGGATTTAGGAGAAAAATTAGTAAAACAGGTAACATGAATGGATGGTTGGAACTGAGATAAAAAAGTATAGAGAATTTGAACACTTAATGATTGTTTGCTTGGAGAAAATTCTGGGTTTTTTCTCACAAATATATTGTTTAAGTATGTCTATTCAAAGGTATATACAGCAAAAGAATTAATATCAGTCTAAAAATATGATTGATTTCATTGCTTTTGGTTGAAATATTTAGAGAGTTGGTGAAAGATATAAGGATGTTCTGATAGTGTCCAGAGGGGTTCTTAGCAAACAAATCTGCTCAAAAGTAAAGATAAGAAGTGAGGAAAAATGAGAGGGATGATAGAATAATTGCAGGAAGAGAAAGTACAAGTCATGTATGAAAAAAATATTAAAAGATATATTAATCCTGCAGCAAAATGAATATAAACTAGATGTGATGTATGGAAGGTGCCTGGAACAGAGAAAAATAATTGTGACACAGGGTGCTATAGGGATTTTGTGCAAATATGCTAATCAGAAGAATGAAAAGGATGCATGGTTGGATTGTAAAGTAAAAGAAGTGAATGGGGGAAAATACAAATAAAAGATTAATTACAAAAAAATGAAGACGGGAGAAAGAACAGATTATTGCAGCTATCTTTTAATTGTTTTTTTTCTTCCGTTCATTCCTGTCCAATTTGTGGACACTGTCTGGACAATTCTCTGTAGTATTCTTGGTAAGGTTTTTTCAGAAGTGGTTTGCCATTGCCTCCTTCCAGGAGATGAGAGCCTAACTAACATGTCTCTTTTGATTATTTATTCTGAAATACAATGGGTTGGTCATTAAAGAGCATTATCAAAAGTAGCTGGGCAACAGTCTTTTCTAGTTGCTTCTCTATTTGAAAATCTGAACCTATGAAGAAATCTTTGTTCATTAGAGTCCCCATCCCCCAGTTTATAGTTTGCAATCAATATTTTAAAAAAACATGTTTTCAGACAATGAATTATTTCTCTTGAGGTAAACATTCAATAGATTTTGTCTCTAGCTATTCCGATGTTTGTGGTATATACTTTTGGAATGTTTTCCTGTAGTTTTTTTATTTTTTGGGGGGGGAGGGAATTATAAGTTCCATACAATGTCAAGTTGATATTCTTGGCAATTGATATTCTTGATCTGTTTTCAAGGCCATTGGAAAAAGCCCAACAGAAAGTCAGACTCCCTTAAGTTGTCTTGTCCAGCCTGTGTCAGCTGTTTGTCTAGTGAAAAAGTCATCTGCTGTCTAGTGAAGGACTTTTCTTGTCTCCCATTCTTCTTCTTCAGAGTAGCTAGGCTAAATGGTTGTTGTCAATTTATACAATAGGCTGTTTTCAGAGAATGGTGCTGCTGACTCAGAATTCCTCCAATTATGCATATAGAGGCAGGAAGAAGGCTTTTATTGCAGAATTGACCATGTTCACATTTCTTCTCGTTTTTACATGGAGTTTTGGTTATTTCTGTATTTTCTGTGATTGTTGGATTCTCCTGATTATTTTTAAAAAGCCAATTATATTTGATAAGCACAATAGGTGGTTCATCTGCCCCAAATACATGAAATTTTGATGTTCGAACCATTGATCCATTTAAAAAATATGTGAGGTTATCGTGAAACTTTAAACATTTAAACTGAATATTGTAATACATTACCACTTCTCTAGGTATCAGTTAGAGAGCATGTGGTTACGTACACAGTCCTTCAGAGTGACATCTGTTATAAATTCAGAATTCCTTTATGTGTCTGAAGGTCTCCTAAACTTGTTAATGGTATATTTTCTCCTATCTGAATATATATTTCAGGTTCTTCCATTGTGTTATTAGAACTTGAATCTGATATTAAACAAGGCATGTATTCACTTGGTCGGCTTTAGACTTTCAGAAATATGCTACCATCTACAGCTCCAGGGCTGATAAAAAATTAGGCCCTGCATAAGAACATTTCTGTGAGAGTGAAACAAAACAGCTGTGATCAACCTTATTTCTTCTTTCAATATTCTGCAGTGTTAATATTGTGAGACTTGTATTTTTAAAAAATGGATGCTTAATTTTAGTTTCCCTTGCTTTGAGGGAGAAAGGTATATGTTATAAATAACATTTCTTGGGAGACATGATACAATCTAGACTTGTTCCAATTAATCCTACTTTCTTCCAATCTTACTTAATCATTAGAGCTTTGCTAATTTTTGCTTTGTAGATTATAGAAAATTTCTCACTAGGAAGCAGTGCTTTTGTTCTAGATGTTGGCTGAATTTGAGGTAACCTTTTTATCCCTAGGTCTAATCTGTGGCAACAGCACCACCAGAAGGCTGTTCTTTGTCTTTAATTTACCTTTCTTGTGAGTTTTAGAATGTAGCCTTTGTACATTGTTGATATAAATATTCATATTTAATATAAATATTCATATTTATGTACAGAGTTACTTTGACCTTCCTCCTGTACCAGGTCTGGCTTCAACCATATGCTACTGTTGCATGATTATCTAATGTCCTTCTAGTTTTGTTGTAGCTTTAATAAGCTTTAACAGACGGGGATTTTCTCTCAACTAAAAAGGTTCAGAATTCCTATAGGCAAGCAGGCAGGAACAGATGCTTACATACATTAATAACAACAATGCATTAAAGCTGTACTCTGTAGTCAAAGATAGTTTACCAAAAAATGAAATGTAGTAACTAGGTGTGTCAGGAAGTATCACTGAAATATAAATTGTTTAGCACACAGGTCGGCAACCTGCGGCTCCGGAGCCACACGCGGCTCTTTGAGCCTTCCCCTGTGGCTCCCAGCCTCCTCTGCCTTTGCAGAGAGAGACAGAGACACAGAGAGGCAATTGCGCTTCCCTGCTTCTCTCTCTCTCTCTCTCTCTCTCTCTCTCTCTCTCTCTCCCTGTGTGTGTGTGTGTGTGTGTGTTTGTGTTTTTGTGTGTGTATGTGTAAAAGAGAGTGCACTCACAGTGTTCTCCGAGGAGCTGAAAAGCTTACTGGGCAGAGCTCCTCCCTTTGCTGCGTCTCTGCAGGAAGCAGGAAGGGCAGGAGAGAGCTAGGCTGACTCAGGAATTCTGGGAGTTGAAGTCCATGAGTCATAAAAGAGACGAGGTTGCCTACACCTGGACAACAGCTTGAAGCTTGCCAGGTGAGCAGCAGATAGGAGGGGGGGAGAAAGAGAGGGAGAGAGAGAGAGAGGGAGGGAGGGAGAGAGAGAGAGAAAGAGAGGAAAGAGAGAGAAAGAAAGAGAGTGGGGGGCAGACCAAGGGCAGATAGAGAGGGAGGGAGAGAGACAGAGAGAAAGAGACTCTTTTGACATCTAAAATGAAGATAACACTGCATATATCCTTTTTTTACCTCTGTGTGTATGTAATTTTATTCTCTTAAAGCATTCTCTTGGTGATCATTGTTTTAATAGTATGGATGTTCCCAAGAGTGATATTTTTACTTTTATTTTTAATGTGTGTGTGTGTGTGTATGTGTGTTTGTGTGTGTGTGTACACATACATACATATACACACACACACACGCACACACACACAAACACACACACACCTATAATAAAAGTAAAAAGGATATAGGCAGTGTTATCTTCATTTTAGATATCAAAAGGGTTTTACGGCTCCCGGTGTTTTGTTTTTGGTGGGAAACAGGTCCAAGTGGCTCTTTGAGTGTTTTGGGTTGCAGACCCTTGGTTTACCAGCTGCTCCAAAAGATATAATAGCTTTGAGAGTTACATATTATTCTGCTTAACTGTCAAGAGTAATACACTTTTTTAAAGTGACTGTTTTGCATCAGATTCAACTCTGAAATCCTGGAATTTGCAAAGAAGGAATTGAGGAAAGAAGAGAATGAGGTAATCTTACACGTTCAGGAGCTAATCAATTTATTCCAGCTGTGATGCATCTAGAAGCATTTCCAGTCTGATTTTCCACATACAAAACAGTGATGTTCCAAACACATTGAAGATAAGCCATTTTCTTCAGGGTACAGGGTTTTTTTTAATACTTAAATCTTGGTCAAAGACCAGTGCATAATGAAACAAATAACAAACTGTTTAAAAGGAAAAGAGTAAAAGCCAAAAAAAAAAAAGAATACAAACTTTTACTGTCACTATTTTACCATTGGAAACTATGTTTCTAGAACCTCCCCTCCTCCAAAAACCCCAGAATATTATTTGTCTGAAAGGCAAAAAGCTAAAAATCTAAGACAGAAGTGGATTAAATTAAATTAAATTAAAACAGAGTAATGTGACAGCTATTTGTATATGTATTTAACAGTGTTCAAAAGTTAGGCCAGTTATATTAAGGGATGAAGATTGGTCAGCTTTAATCTTTGCTTACTAGCAGCATAAACGAATATGGCAACATCCAGGATCTTAAAGTCCCTTTGATCAAAAAGCAGCATTTATATACAGAGAGCAGAGAGCAGAGTGACAGAGAAAACTACTTTTATCAGCTATGGAGAAATAAAACAGATTCTAATATTGATATAAAATCAACAGTTCAGTAAAATGTGGGTAAAAGATTCTACGGTGCCTGTAGCACATAGAAATAATCAAGCAGCAAATCGAATTATTTTGTATCTGCCTTTCAAAATAGCTAAAGGAAGACTATTAAATCAGGCCAATGTTAAAGCCCTTGGATACTGTCATATTTTTTAAGTATTTTGCTGGTCTAAACATACAACTGGAAGCTCAAGAGTACATTTCTGGGACATGGTAGGAATTTGCTAAATCTCTATGGGGGAAATGCTATCTGTTCTGTTAAATTTGGGACATGAAACATAATGGCATGGCATTTAAATCCTGTTTTAACAAATGCACTCAGCACTACTCATTACAACTTACTAAACAAATAAACAAAGCATGGAAGGGGTAAGTGCTGTTTGAGAGGTATTTTTTATGCTCTTGTTGATCAGCTAGATTGTACTAACTGACACATGGGGAGTCTCCAAATTTCTGAATCAGCTGTATGAAGGACAATTGAGCATTGAATTGGTTTGAAATATTTCTGAGGTTTTGGAGAGTGAAACCTGCATGCAAGGAGATGCTTATCCATCACAAACTCGGGTCACAGTTTCAATCAACATAAAAATATATTATCTTATTGACTATGTGAATTTATATTATACAGATGTGTGCCTTGTTATCCCTCCATATTTCCACCATCCTCTTTTTGAAATTTTTGGAACTAGGAAAGTATATATTTTTTTTTACTTTCTGTAAGAATTAAACATACCTAATATACTTTGTAAATAGTTAATTACAGTTCAGTTTCATGTATATTGAAAGAGCACAAGCAAAATCATTGTTTGACTCCTTATTTCTTGTATCTTTCACAGCCTGTGAATCAAGGAAGTCACTATCAGAAAGAAATGAACCCTCTTTCTCAGTCCAATCCAAGGTAAGTTGCTGTTTACAGCTCAGGCAAAGCCGATGTGTTGAGAATACGGGAAAAAACAGTCAGCATAGGTTTTCTTTGGTGTACTCTTAAAACTTATTGTTAGTTTCTCCATCTTAAAAAGAACTGTATATTTCCAGCCTTGGCCACATATGTATTCACGCATAAGGAGAAACCTGAGGGATGGAAATGATTGCTGAGATGTGGCTCAGCAGTTGAATGTATTTGGACTTGTGCATCCATTTTTAGCAATCACATTCAACAGCAGTGTCCACAGACTGGAAACAAATAAATAGGAAAGCATTTATCATCGCAAGTCCTGCAACTCAGAAGTGGCTATGTTGAACCTAGAACAGTGCTTTACTGTCTTTTTTGTATTCCTATGTCTTGAAAGTAGTTTCAAGAATTCAGTAATGCTCCCTTAGAAAAGAGGCAAAAATTGAAAAACATTTATTTTTTTCCCCAGGTTATCTGAACTGAAGCTAATTTCTTAAGTGAAGAGATTGTTTTCTTAAGAAACACAGGCTAAGGTGGAATATCTACCTCTGTGGGACACTCTCATAACTCAGGCTTTCTTTCATAGGGCACGAGCATTGTGTCCCATTTTCTAAATTACCTGAGAGACAGATCTTCAAATAATCTCTTGACAAAACAATTGTTATGACTATTAGAAAACTGTTTTTAAAAGCTGGCTTAAGGAAAACCTGGTTTAGGAACCAAAAGCACTTTGTACAAAGACTTAAGGATTAAGAAAATTCTTATCCATTGTTCATCTTTCCTGCATTGCAGCAAAGCATCAAGAAGTTTTCCAAATTTGTGTTAAATTTTTCTACTATTTTTGGATTTAATCTGATGAGAACTGGGGAGGATAAGCTTACAGTGCATTGCTGAAGACAGCAGCATGTTCAGTGGGCTTTGATACTGGCTGGACTTCAGTTTTTGTTGTGTCATAGTATAAGGCTTATTGGCAACTGCCTAAAACTAAAATTAATTCTTTCCAAGAATGATTCTTATAGCATCTGTTTAGCAATAATATTAAGAAGATAAGAGTGGACTTAGGAGAAGTCCAGCAACTGAACTATTTTCTGTATCCCTGGGTAGAAGAAGGTAAACATACCTTGATTTTTTAAAGAGCCTTCCTGTGATTGACCCATGTCATCCTTCCATTTCAATCACAGGTTGCATACCAGCAGCTTTCCATACATAATTAAATCAAACTTACCTTTCTGTACTAGCAATTTAGATATATTCCATCTATTTTCCTTACTCTGTACTTTAGGCAATAAAGACTGTGAAGTTTATAAAAGGGGCTGCGTTTGCAAACACTCCTCTCTTCTATTCTTTCTCTTTTCTCTTTTATTCCGTTTATGTTATTCTCCAATAAACCTTTGTTTTGTTAAAAAAAAAAGTTCTACTTTTCATTTCACTTCTCCTTGAGGGTCCACCTCTTTGTTTCCTGTTCCATGGTATATTTTTCTTTCCCTGAAGTCTCAAATCCTTTTTTTGTTCTGTCAAGTTCTTAAATCTTTCTAAATTTCCCTAGTGCAGAATAGCTTCTAAATCTGCTTATGGACATTCTTATTTGTTAGCATTGCTTCTTCCTATGAATCAGGTGCTCCACTGCCTCTTCCATGCAGAATTAGAAAGCTTTAAGAGATATGAGCAGCTTCACAGTCACCTGCTTTATTGGAGAAAACAGATAACCGGCCCTCTCCAAAATGGGTTGGACATTTTTATTGGTATAGTACCAATACTACTCCCTATTCCATCCAGGATTGGAATAGATTCTACCCAGACAAGCAGGGTTTGCATTGCCTAGTTTATTATGCAGAACTGCCCACAAATGAACACATGTAGCTGAGCTAGCCAAGGTCTACATTTTGACTGCTGATGTAATCATTTTTCTCTCCATAGAAAGAGCAATTGTTAGTTGATTTTCCTATCAGTAGGAAGTCCATCAATCACTTTTCCTAAGTTGTCCCACTTTATATATGAGTGGACACCACCAGTTGTTAGCCTCATTACTGAAGAACAATATGACTTACCAATGCAGGCAGTGCAAAACATATCAGCACTCATTTCTGCCACATCAGATGGACTGGAGGAAAACACATTGACACTGCTATGGGGAAAAGCCCCAAAACACATCTGTAGTCACTGCAAGTGTTCCTTATTGTCCAGAAGTAAGTAAAGCAGCCAAAAGAATCTTATCCTTGTCTACTCCCTACTCAGTGTTGATCCATTTACTCTCACCCCTGCTTTGTTTTATTTATATACCTTTCTTAATGCATACAGTAATCAACATTCAATTTCATACTCATAAAATATTTCATCATTCAAGCTAATTAATTAATTGTAGGCTTTATCTAAAACAATAAGCATTCTTATATTGTTGGGAAACACTCAGCCAGGCAAGGAAGAGGAATAACAGAGATGGAAGGGACTTTGAAGGTCTTCTTACACCCGCAGCCCAAGCTCCAAAGAGCCTTATCAATCTGCTCCAAGAGAAGGCAAGCAGTCTTGGAATATTCCTGTATAATAGGCAGAATATAATAAGGTAGTTAGCTTGAATTCTACATGAACACATCTGATTCCCTGCACCTGACATATATCCACTTCCATTCATTCTCTTGGTTAACAATTTCTAATAATTTTTAAGTAAGACTTTTCCAGAAGTCATACTACTTTCATTTTTTTTCTTCCATGCCAAAGTTTCCATTTTTTCCATACCTGTTTTCTCCTACAATCCATGGTCATTTTTCCCCAAATCCATTCTCCCAAAAGCCATCATAGTGCTAACTGCATTAACAGAGGGATAGAATCAAGATCACATGAAGTGTTAATACCACTTTACAATGCCTTGGTAAGGCCACACTTGGAATAGTGCATCCAGTTTTGGTCACCACGATGTAAAAAAGATGTTGAGACTCTAGAGTACAGAGAAGAGCAACAAAAATGATAAGGGGGCTGGCTGTACAAGGAACAGTTACTGAAATTGGGTGTGTCTAGTTTAATGAAGAGAAGGACGAGGGGTGACATGATAGCAGTGTTCCAGTTTCTCAGGGGTTACCACAAAAAAGAGGGAGTCAAGCTATTCTCCAAAGCACCTGGAGGCAGGACAAGAAGCAATGGATGGAAACTAACCAAAGAGAGAAGCAACCTAGAACTAAGGAGAAATTTCCTGACAGTTAGAACAATTAATTAGTGGAACACCCTGCCTCCAGAAGCTGTGAATGCTCCAACACTGGAAGCATGGGGTTGGACTAGATGACCTCCAAGGTCCCTTCCAACTTTTATTTTTATATTATTATTGTTGTTGTTGTTGTTATTGATCATCACACAGTCAGCATTTTTGTCTACCTATCGAGTCCTTACCAAGGGCCTGGGATAGGCAGATGAGGATGTTGATGGTATTACAGATATTGTTGCAGGATAGAAGCAGTTGCTAGTAAGGCCGCCTTTTGCAATTGACTAATGGTGAATTTCTCAATGCCAATGGTGTTCAAGTGGTACTCCAGTTGTTTTGGGATTGCACCCAAGGTACTTGTTGTTGTTGTTGTTGTTAATCATCACACTGTCAGCCAGATGTTCAGACTGGATTTAGTATTTTGTCTACCTATCGAGTCCTTACCAAGGACCTGGGATAGGCAGATGTGGATGTTTGATGGTATTACAGATATTGTCGCAGGATGGAAGCAGTTCCTAGTAAGGCCGCCTTTTGTAATTGACTAATGGCAAATTTGTCAATGCCAATGGTGTTCAAGTGGTGCTCCAGTTGTTTTGGGATTGCACCCAAGGCACCTATTACTATTGGTACTACTCTTGCTTGCTTTTGCCACAGTCTTTCTATTTCTATTTGTAGGTCTTTGTATTTTGTTATCTTCTCCACTTCTTTCTCGTCTATTCTGCTGTCTCCAGGCACTGCCACATCCACTATCCAGACTTTTTTGTCTTTCTTATCGACAATTGTTAAGTCTGGGGTGTTATGTTGCTGTACACTAGTTGGTTTGTTTCTTGCAGTGAATTGGTGCTTATACTTAATATTGCAGTATTTGCATCTTTTAATGCTTGTGCTAGCTGTTTCTTTGGAACAAGCTTCAATGCAGGCAGCCTTATTCTGTTGTTTTTGTGCTGTTCTAGATGCTCAGTTATTCTTTGTTTCAATTCTTTTATTTCTTTAGTTAGATGGTTTTGTTCCTCCTGAGGTAGAGGTGCCTGGTTTCCAAATGAGAACAGTTGTATATCTCTGCTGGATTCCTTCACTGCCAACTCCCCCTGGTTTGCCTCTACATTCTGAATTACTTCTGGTAAGGCTTTGATTTCTTTGCCCTGGGTAAACCTTACCAAGGGCCTGGGATAGGCAGATGAGGATGTTGATGGTATTACAGATATTGTTGCAGAATAGAAGCAGTTCCTAGTAAGGCCGCCTTTTGCAATTGACTAATGGCGAATTTGTCAATACCAATGGTGTTCAAGTGGTACTCCAGTTGTTTTGGGATTGCACCCAAGGTACTTGTTGTTGTTGTTGTTGTTGTTGTTGTTATTATTATTATCCCCAAAAATGATCTGTTCCCCATTGATAATCTCTTATCACTTTTATATCCTTCAGAAACCATTATGGACAAGGGAGTGGCCCTCCGTAGCAAGAAGTAATTGACCAACTATTTACTTATCAGTAGTAGTAATACATTATCTTCAGTTTAATTAATAGATTTTTATTTTTTAAGAAACAATTATTAAATATTGAAATTTATCTTAATGAAAAATACAAACACCAAGATATCCGCACTTTAAAGTCTTAATTTCATTTTGAGATGCACAAGCAATCTATAAAATATGCCACTTGCTATTTCCTCAATGAATTCAGCAGTCTACCAGAAAGGTGTTGCTAAGCTATAAATATAGAAAGATATGATTATGAGATTAACCTACATCATTATAAAAAAAACTAGTAGATGTAGTAAGGCACAGTATATAGCCTAAGAAAGCATGGCCCATCTTGTTGATCTTTTAAAACATCAACAAATTGTGGATAACATGAAGAAATTCTAACAAAAAGCAAAACCAAAACAAAAGTAAAGAAGAAAACATGATTAATTTCTCTAGTCTATGATTTGAAAGTATTCTTTAAAATGTAAACTTACCAAATTGCTTCCTTTAAGAAAGAAACCAAAATTTGATTGCTTAGTAAATACTATACCTCCTACAAAAATAATCCTAATTCATAAAATCAGGTAAGCTAGCTTTTGGACATTTAGTATAACTATATGAATTAGCAGGAGACATTAAAACAACTCAATCATTGTGAAATATGGCTATTTAGAAAAAAGAGGCATAAGGAAAAGATTTCCAACTTTGGAAGAGACAACGGAGATTTTTCAATAATATTTAACATTAGCACTGCATTCAAAAACTACACAATTTAATAGTAGTCACTTTTTATTTCCAGTGATATCCAAAGCAAAGTTACAAACATGGGCTGAACAGTGCCTTTCTTTAAAAAAAAAGCCTTACAATATGTACTATAAATCAGTGATTCCCCCAACCTTTTGGGCACCAGGGACTGTTTCCATGGACTGGGGAAGAAGAGTGTGCAACCTGGAAGTTCTGCACACTCAGTTTACAGTAGGGTCCATGGTCCTATGACAGTCTAATCAGTCTAATGCCTGATGATCTGAGGTGGAGCTGAAACAGTAATGCTAGTGCTGGGGAGCAGCCTCAAATACAAATGAAGCATCACTTGCTCACTCGCCCACCATTCACTTCCAGCTGTGCAGCCCAATTCTTAATTGGCCACAGACCGGGACTGGTCCTCGGCCCAGGGGTTGAGCCCCCTGCTATCAATGAATTGACCAGATATACAAATAACACTGCAAGAGTAATCAGGTATAGTTTAAAGTTTGGGAAAGATGCAGTGCCTCCCATTTCCTTTCCTAAATGGAAAGGAATTTAATCCATAGAAAAATAATTGTCAGAGAACATACACCTAATCATAATTAAAGCAGATGTAATTCCTTTGGCTGTTACCTTTGTGTCTGCTTGCTCATCTTATAAAGTCAGTACATTATTGAAGTACAAAGATAAGAAACTTTGATTTAAATTGCCCAACTATGAAGTTAACTTGGGCTTTCCTTCTAATTTTGCAGAATTTATCTCACTTTGTTGCTGTGCACATAAAATGGATTAGTCCCTATATATGTTTCCATTAATTCTAATCCTGTAATATAGAAATACATTTCCAAGTTGATGTCTTCTTCTCAACCATGGTAACTTTTCTTGATACCACATGATCATCCTGCCATCTTATTTCCTTAACCCAACTGCAGAATCTCTCCTTTTCCCCTAAGAGCTATGACAGCTTTTATGCTATTTCATGAAAAAAAACTCTCAAATTCTTGTATCAGTTTGCTCTTTAATCCCCTTTCCAAACCTGGTGCCTTCCAGATACAGTTCCAACATCCACAGAAAGCATTGGAAGGACAGAAGTGGTCGTTTAACTTACCTAGATTCTAGAGAATGCCAGGTTAAGGAAGACTCCTCTAGAGCTGTGATTGATTGATTTCTTAATGTATTTACTGAATTAATAACATGCTATCTGCAGAAGAGTGGCACTCAAGGCAACTAACAATAAGAGTCAGGCTTGGCAATAAAACATAAGTCTACAGACAATTAACCCTTAGCTTGGCTCCCAGCTTGATTTGATAGCAGATACCCGGATTAGATTAGAAACTTTATTGCAGGCAAGAATGATACCACACATACATAAATCAATTGCCTACTGCAAAGAAAACTATATACACACACTTGTAGTCTCCTTCTCATTGTCTCTCTTCCTTCCAAATAAGTAGATATGAAATGGATGCCAAAAAGATTGGTGAATCACTTGGCGCATTGGTCAAATGAAATGGGTTAACGTAATGGTTTCTACCTTGCCAGTCGTAGTTTTTATGCTATCCCATTCTCTTTCTTAAGAAGGCTCTGTGCAGCTTGAAGTTCGTGAAGAAACCAGGAGGCTTTTGATTGGGAAAATGCTGGAAAGGCTGGAATACAAATGGCTGGAAAGTAATAGGCTCAGGTGACACAATATATTAGGTGAGCTCTAGTGATGTCTTAGTGGAAATAGGAAATGAGTCATTATAAGTGAACTTGGGCACAGGTAAAAGTTTGAAGAATTGTATTGCTTTTAATTTGCAAAGCAGCAATGGAGATCTGTCCTCTCCACTATGCAATCCAACAGAGAATATGGTGAACTTTATATGCAGTAGAACATAGGGCTCTTTAAATTGTAGGCCTTGTCAGATTATTGAGTAAATTGTGGCTGTAAATTATATATTGAAAGGAAAGACAAGCCATCTCAGGATGCTTAATGAAACAAAATGGGAAAATAATTAAATAATAGCTGAAATGAAAAAAGAAGGAAAGGAAGAATGGAAAAACAAAATGAGAGAGAGAGAAAAAAAGAGAGAGATTTTCATCCATGAAATAGAACATCTGAAAAAATAGATCAGTTGCTACCAAAATGACCTCCAGGCATGTACTAAGTCATTGAAAAAATTCAAGGAAACTGCTTCCCAAGGCTCCAGTAGAGAAGAGAAGAGACACAACAATTCAGACAGTTTGCTGGTCAGAGGACTAGCATTGCACCAAGTGGGCTGTGAAGAAACATAGGTCCTGACATCTGTTTAAATCACATAGAAAAGGATGCTTCATTTTAAACACATAGTGAAATGCCCAGCTGGCTGGCTAGCATCGCAGGCTGCAACTCATACTTCCTCAAGGAAGGAATAACGTACAACTGGATATATGTGATGCAATTCTCCCTCTTCTCCAAAAAGAGGGGACAGAGAAAACAAAGAATCTCCCTCTAGATCATATGTCTGAACAGAAATTATTATGCCAAGATATACTGGATTCTACTAAGCCACAGCAGTAAATTGTAGGTCTCCAGACACTTAATCCTGAATTCACCTCTCAGCTGAATTTGGTAGCAGATCTCTAGACATTGCTCCGCAAAATTAGAAGTTTAGACAAGAATGGACAATTGTCAATTGCAGAAAAAAAGGAGTTCAAGACAACATGTGTCCAGTTTCCAGAATTTAAACTCTAGATTTCTTTTCCTTTATCCTTCCAAATTAACAGATACCTGGTGGGTTTCAAGGTCTTAAAGGAGAGCTAAGATAAGTTTTACATAACATCTCTCTCAAGCTGAAATAATCATTCCCACCTCACCAGCCTCAACACTTGCAATAAAAATGAAATAGTAAACATATTAATAAAAATCTGAATTAAAAACTTAATTAAAATACCATTAAAAGCACATTGATAAAACAGATAGTACCCAATTGTATTCCAAAGAAGCAGCTAAAAGATCTGACATTCTAAAATCCTGTCAGAATAATAAAGTATGCTTGCTTCCAGAAGGATAATAATATGAGCTTACCAATTTGTAATACTAAAAAAGGTAAGATTTAGTGGAAACCGTATGGACAATAAAATTAGTCAGAGGTGCTCCAGATTATAAACTATGCAGTACACTCTGTCTCTTAATGGCTTCAGAAAGAGAAGTGGAATGAAATAGGAAGTTACTATGGAAGTTCTCTGTCTAACTAAGTTTAAGCAAGATGGATACATGCTGGATTTCTAATCTTGTAGAAGACAGTTACTCAGTATAATACTCTGTCTTCTGGATTTCTCTTCCAGGAAAAATGTGAATGCGATCCTGTCTCAACCTGTCTGCTTTTCTCTGATCCTTCTCTTTCTCCACTTTGCCCATTTTGGAGAGTTTCAAATGGGAGATTAAGTTAGGAGTGTTTCAAATAAAACTTTCTGGAATAACAGTACATTTCTCTTTACAAGCAAAAGTCAGTGGTTTTCGTTTCTGTGTCTTTAAGGCTGACAATGTCCAACAAGGGCTAGTTTTAAAGAAAGAATTCTGGCCACTAACTCTAGCTTGCTAAAAGAACCCTTGTTATACAGAAAGGGGGGGGGATTAAAAAGGCAAATTATTTTCCTTCTTGCATGTTCTAATTCAATGTTTCTCAATCTTGGCAACTTTTAAGATGCATGGATTTCAAGTTCCAAAATTCCCCAGAAGCATGCTGGCTGGGGAATTCTGGGAGTTGAAGTCCATGCACCTTCAAAGTTGCTAAGATTGAGATACACTGCTCTAATTGTACTCAGCATTGTCAGAGAAATTGTAACCTTGTTTAATCAGAATCATTGTGGCATAAGGCCTTGTACTTGCTGCTCTCCTATTAAGTTAAGCATGCTTGTCCTTGAAACAAATTTACCTCAACTTCTATTCACCTTCTTCATTCACCTATGGTCTTTCCTTCTTACCACACACCTGAGCTTTGCCATGAAAGTGGAGTTTGAGGCAAGCAGTGGCTCTTTCCAAGTCCTTCAAGTTGATTCACATATAATATGAGCGTGGTTAGTCCTCAATTTACAACCATTCGTTTAGTGACTTCAAGGTTGCAGCATCACTGAAAAAGTGACATGACTGTTTTTGACATTTTTTGATGATTTAATTATAGAAAGAGATGTGTTGTAACCATAGAGTAAGCTTAAAATTGAACTTTTTGTTCACTTACAATTATTTTTCTTTTACTTTTTTTCTTTCTTGCACTTTTAACTCTTTAAAAAGTCTTTTTCTTTCCTTTTTTCTTACAATACATTTTGTATTAGTTTTTTAATTTTTTAAAAAAAATCATATATAAATATAAATATATAATAATAATGATAATAATAATAATGATGATGATGATGATGATGATGATGATGATGTTGGGAGGGACCTTGGAGGTCTTCTAGTCCAACCCCTCCTGCTCTGGAAGAAAACCCTATACCAGGGGTGTCAAACTGCCAGCCGTGGGCTGGACACATCATCCAGAAGCCGCGCCCACCCCATTGCTGGCAATGGCAAAACTGTCCTGATACGTTGCGTGACATCATGTGACATTGCGAGTTTGACATGTCTGCCCTATACCATTTCAGACAAATGTTGTCCAGTCTCTTCTTAAGAGAAGGAAGATATTACCTGTAATGCAAACAGAGGATTTTTTATCAGAGGATCCCCAGGTAACCAAGTTTGAAGGACTCTCTTGAAAGTCACAGATTGGAACTAACCTTCTTTCAGATGGGCTGCTGTTCCAGAGGGCAGATGCCCTGGCAAAAAAGACTCATCTTTAAGGTCCCATTAAACCACACCTGCTATGTGTCCCTTTTGCCAGATCTGATAGGAGGGGTAGATGTAATCGGGAAGATTTTGTCACTCTGTCAAAGGAAACACGTTCTATTTCAGCAATCTCCTGTTGTGTAAATAATATTTTACTTACATGAATAAGACAAAATACGGTTTTATTTATTCATTCATCCATTCTCTCATCACAATTTTACACTGCCCATCTCAACTAAGTGACTCTGGGCAGTTTACAATAAGTTTTAAAATTTATTTGTTGCATTCTTTTTATTTAGGAAGTTAATAAATGTTACCTGACCCAGGTATTACGGAAAGTACATAATCTGTTTAAATAAAGAGTCTGTGCCATTTGTTTTTCAACAGGATAACCTGTTATAGTTGCAACATTTCCTGTTATAAATACATAATAACCTCAAAATAAGGTTAGAATCTGTTTGCTAGAACCATTTTAATTAGAAGGGAGGGTGCAGAAAAGGATTTATATATCATGCCAACTTCCATTTGTGCTAGTGTAATTCAATATTGAACTAGAGTAGAAGTTTACAATAGACATCAACAGCAAACATTACATAAGCGAACATTTTCACTGTTTCCCTTGTAGCTGAATTTATTGCCTACATAGATGTGGGGCAAAAGCAGATGGTTATAGGCAAGCAAACATAGCCATGACTAGTTGACCCTATTACTGTTAATAGGGATATCCAGCTGTCCCTTGGGTTTGTCAGGCAAGTGGTTTGCAGCAGCATTAAAAAGCAGCACAAGAAAGCTTGCTACCACACAGACTTCTTCAGATCTTTATTGCTTAGTTTATTTATAATACTGCATTAGAACATATCCATTCTGCTCCTAAATTATTAAATGAATGGTTGAATATGGGCTGAGGAGAAATTATTTTTGGACCAATTGTTTGATAGAGTCATCTGTTGTCAACATGAGAGGTTAGATTGCTATACTTGAGAATTTGAGTTCATCCTCTTTTTGCAGTAGCAAAACCCTATACAACTTAGAGCAACACAAAATTATTTATTCAGAGTCTTAAATGATAATAGCGTAAACAATTTTAGAAATAGGGGCCACAGATTTTAAGGCAGAAGCTATTAGTATTCCTCATCATAGGCTTCATCAAAGACTTTAGGGCTTTTTAGACTAAAAGATACTGAGGAGTCAGTCAATTATAATACAGTCAACGGCCAGTATTCCACATGCTGAGTAGATCATCAGTTTTCAAGATAGAGGAAGCCATGTAGGCCACTGACAAACTGTAATGGTATATGAGAATGACAGTAGGAGACAGGAAGAAGAGTCACAGACTAGTCAACTGTCATGCATAACCCAATAGAGATGATTAGGGGACTGGAGGCTAAAACATATGAAGAATGGAATTGGATATGTCTGTGAAAAGAAGGACTAGGGGGTGACATGATACCAGTGTTCCAGTATCTAAGGGGCTGCCACAAAGAAGAGGAGTCAACCTATTCTCCAAAGCACCTGAAGGCAGGACAAGAAGCAATGAATGGAAACTAATCAAGGAGAGAACCAACCTAGAAATAAGGAGAAATTTCCTAACAGTGAGAACAACCAGCCAATGGAATAACTTGCCTGCAGAAATTGTGGGTGCTCCAACACTGTAGGTTTTTAAGAAGACGTTGGACAACCATTTGTCTGAAATGATATAGTTTCCTGCTTGAGCAATGGATTGGACTAGAACAGGGGTGTCAAACTCAATTTCATTGACGGCTGCATCAGCATTGCAGTTGCCCTGCATCAGCATTGCAGTTGGGCTGGGTGGGTGTGACCAGAGTGGGTGTGGCCTACTGGGTGGGCGTGGTCAGCTCTACATCATTCACATCAAGGGTGCCTGTGGGGGCCCGGGCAGCAGTGGGACAGATATGAGGGTCTCTGGCAGAAGGGGGTGGGACCAGGGCAAGTGCCAAGGCATGGTCCAGTGGAGGAGCCTCACTATTCCTCTCAGGCCATGCGGAGGGGGCTGGATGGTGGTGCGGGCTGCCCAGAGCCCTGGGCAGCAGACATCAAATGCCCAACCTGGCCCTTGAGCACCCACGGCACCAAGCCCAGCCCCATTTCTCCAAGGGGGTGCCCAGCTACACTTATCTCCTCCTCAAGGCTGCTGCTGCTGTGCTTGCTCTCCTTAGCCAGGTTGCTCATGATGGGTACGAGGGCAAAGTCAGAGGGAGGCCCATTCCCTCTCCATGGGAGGAGACTCGGCTTTGTATCCAAAGCTTCCTTAGCAATAGAATGAGAGACCTTCAGGATAGGCCAGGAGGAGGGGCAAGGGGATGGTGAAAGGACAGCAGGGCAAGACTAAGGCAGGAGTTCCCTCAGATCCTCCCTCTCCTTCTTTCCTTCCTTCCTTCCTAATATAGAATGGTGGGAAAATATCTGAGATGAGGGAGGGAGAAAAACAGGCAAGAAATGCAGCTGGGAAGGTGTCACCCTTCATGAGGAATGAAGAAATGCACCATCACCTGGAAGTAGCCAGGACATGGCCCTCACCTACTTCACATATCTGGCTTGGTGGGCTCTGGGGGAGCGGATGCCATGAGCAGCATGAGAGTCAACATTACCTGTGCAATGCCACCCAGCCCCCAGCCTGCCCGGTCTTGGCAGGCAGCAGAGCGCTTTCCTCACAGCACCGAGAGGTTGAGCTGGAGGTTGAGCTGGACGGTGCGAAGCTTGTCAGCTTTGCACCTTGCTGCCTGCTGAAACTGGGCAGACTGAGGGCCAAGGCAGTGGGGGCCGTTCCCTCACTGTTTCCAGGATGGCTTCGTGGGCCGCATCAGGCCCCCGGGCCTTGTGTTTAACATGTCTAGACTAGAAGATCTCCAAGGTCCCTTCCAACTCTGTTATTCTGTCCTTCTCTTATTCTATTATCCCAACCCACATTTGGAAAAGAGGCGTAGGAAGCATCTCAGAAAGAATCCTCCCTAATTTGATAGAAACAACTAGATTCTTTTGCTGTAACCTTACAATAAAGGTAGTGTTAGCACAAGTGCCACTAGGGGGTGTTACGGAGCAGAGGCAGGTGGGCAGGGGTCACTGGTGAGCTGTGCTGCAGGCAGGCACTTGCTAGGAAATGCAGGCAGGTAGAGAGATCTCATATTCTGTAGCAATGGCCCTTAGGAGGAAAATCACAAGAGCAACATGATATATATATATATATATATATATATGGAGTAGAAGTACTCCATTTCAGAGGTTGCAAATATATGCCATTATATTTTGTAGAGAAGTAGATAGAGGACCTTAATGAAGAAATGCAAGACATCTCAGAAGAAAGCATGAGAAAAAAATGCAAAGTTTGTGTGGTATAAGAGGGTTAGGGCAGAGGAGAAATTGTGGCAGACTTCAAGTTTTATTCTTATACGTAATAGAGTTCCAGGAGAGGCTGTGTTATCTGTTCTGAACCTGGCTTGCTACAAAGGACTGGCACATGTTCATCTACATGTTTATCAACCTAAGGGTGGGGAAAGAAAGGATAATTCCAAATTAGCTCAAATAAGTACTTTTTAAAGAAATGAATAAGGCATGGTACCAAAAAAAAAAAAAGACTTATTTTTGTGATTCATTAGAAGAACAAGATCACACAACTTCACTGAACATGCCCAGTTGACAGCACAATGTTAAGAAGTATAGAACTTGTCAGTGCCAACACAAGTGAGCAACATTCATGATGGTACTTTGATTTTATTTGGATTTATTGACTACTTCACATAATTCAGTAAATTTCCAAGGGATTTACATTCTATTTAATCAAAATAAGTTCTGTTACTCATTATTCATTATTCATCAGCCTTGCTCTTGCCTCAAAAGAAAATAAAAGGATAAAGGGGATAGTAAATGAGAATTATCTCTAATAATTAGGAGAAGTCACTCTCTCAACGGCTTTGAAGTAGAAAGTTTCTACATCTGCAATCTTAAATTATTTTAATGATTGAGAGATCCCTCCTCCCAACTTTAAGAATTACAGTGCTTCTAAATGTAATTAATTTAGAATAAAAATGCAGAAGGTAGGATTTTGGGGGTTAGCAGAAGTCCTGGCAACTAGAAAGGAATAAACCCTCTCCTTCACTATAACTTCTAGATCAAATTAGCAACTATAGATCAGAAAAAGCAGAATTTACTTATTCGTTTGTTGTTTTGTTCCATACAGTATTAACCTTGTGAACTTTCAAGCTTCCTCTTTCCACTATGTAGATGGACAGTGATTAATATTTATATGTATTTATATGTAAGGGTGTAGGTGTATACATATGTTGTATTTAGCATGTTTATATTTGTGTTATGTATGTGTACACGTTTGAGAGCAAGCAACAGTATTTCATTTTTAAGGTGTGCCAGTATGCCCACTGTAAAAAAAATGACAATAAAGATTATCTTATCTTAAAAGATTTTTATAGCCATCCATCTTATAACCAACTCTGGGCGGCTCCCAATTAAAAGTTAAAACAACAAAGAAAACTATGTTAAAACTATTAAACTAAACACTTTAAAACATTAAAAACAACAAAAATCTGGCACCAAGACAAACTTCTAACCTGTAGTTATCTAATGTTATCCCAGCTTTTTTGGGGGGGGGGAACAGTATCTTCAAAGTTTTATGGAATTCTAGGAGGGTGGAGTCTTGCTAGAATTCAAGTGGCAGAGGATTCCATAGGGCAGGGGCTGCCATTAAAAAGGCGTGCTTGTTGACTCCCATCTGATGGCAATATTTAGGGGAAGGGACAAGGAGTACGCCCATCTTGTCTGACCTGGTAGGATAGATAGATGTCCACAGAGAAAGGCAGTTGCAGAAATGACTTGGCTCTGTGCCATATATAGCGCTTTAAATTTTAAAAATGTCCCATAAGTAAACTACAATGTTGTGCCCTACACATGAAACTGGCAGCAAAAAATACAAGAATTTTCTTGAAATAATACAAGTCCATCATTTCCATTGGTTGGCAGCAACACGACTATCTGTACCTGGGACTAAATCCCTGTTCTGTCCCAGCCTACGTCCGTCCTTGTTACGTCACAAGAACAAACCCCTCTTAAACAGTAGGCTGGGGAAACC